ATGTTTTATTCTGAAAGCAAGAGATAAGTTTTGTCAAATAATTCTTTTTAACAAAGCACAAAAGAAGAATCCTTGGTAATAATAGGGCTTTTTTTGTAGTCAATTCATGCATGGAAGACCAAGATGATCTTAAAACATTTTATTTTCAATTTTGCTACATTAATTCCTTAGAAAATAATTTGTTTCTTGGGAGCATTTCGTGTGAAAGAAGTTCATAAAATAAGCTAAAATACTGCCGTCTATTCTCAAATCTTCAGTTTGTTTCTCACACTAAGAACTTGACTATGAAATTGTACATTTAATTGCATACTTCAGAAATGTGGCATTACTTTTAAGTAGAAAATTAGAGAATTAGCATATTAGCAGTATTTTCAGTGAATTACTGACTTGAGTGAATTTTCAAAATTTTCATTACAAATAAATTAACTCTAAACAAACAAAGGGGAGGGGTAGACGAGTCATTTTACTTGTTCCTTGAGTTTTACCAGAGCAGAGAATATTTGGAGAAGGCCTTTGGGCTGTGAAGTTTTTTGAGCATGAAAAGGCTTCCTTGTTTTTACTCTTTACTTCTTCCATCCACCTAAGATTATTTTTTTGCAATTTGTGTGCTTCTACCTTCGGAGCAGACCTGTGACAGAAAAGGTAGAAGTTGTGCTAATAAATTGCATTGAGCTTATTTTTGTGTGCACACATACTTCCTGTGATGTAAGGGGAATTAAGGTCAAGATATGAGATGATGATAGATTTCAAATGTTTCCTACTAGGGTAATGTGTTGGAGAATGTGAGTTAGAAGACACCGAACAGCACATAGCTTTTTTTTTTTTTCCTTTTTGTTTTCCCACATCTGCTTTTTTCCCCATTTTATGTCTTAAGGAACAGATTAGGATCCGTCCTGTAGATCCTCCAGTTTTTCCATGTTGGGACAAGATAGATTATGCTATTATTTGATTAAAAAAAGGCTTCCATGTAAAATAAATGATCTGTCTTCAGATTATTATCTGAAGATTTTTGGAAAAAATAATAATTCTTGTCACAAAGTTTTTGTCTTCGGCAGGCTGTTGGGAGTTTACGGAGAAGATGGAGTCAGACTCTTGTTCGAGGTGCATAGTGAAAGGGTGAGGGGGATCACACACAAGATGCAGTCTTGAAAGTGCTGATGGGATATTAGGAAATCTTTTTCATGCAGTATGTTGTTACGTGTTGGAATAGGTTGCTTGGAGAGGCTGTAGAGTATCTATCCTTACAGCTATGCAAAGCTTGGCTTGTTGTCATCCTGACCAGTTTGATCAAAAAGATGGCTTCAGCTTTGAAATTGGCTATACTTGGAGCAAGATTGGACCAGATAGCCCACCTCAGATGTCCCTTACAACTGTAATGATTATATGATTTCTGCAGTTCAAATTTCTAAGTAACAGGATTTGAGAATTCATACAGATACTAACTTGACTTTCTTTGCTTTCCTTTGTTAACATGGGGAAGAACGTCCTTCTTTGTATGAAGCTTCAAAGGCATCTAGCTAACAAAATGATCATCAGAAAAAAGAAAATTCTGTGTGGAATTGTACTTAGAGGGTTGCCACATCAACATTTTTGGATACATGGTTTTGATCTCTGTCAGACTTTAGAAGTCTTCTGTTACCATTTTCTTAGGGTTTTAGGGAGAAATCAGGGAACTTAGAGCATTTTTCTATTCTGTCAATTTTATAGGACTTGATATAAACTGACTTTTGGAGTAAGACCAAGCATGTGATGAAGAAATGTACAAGAACCTAACATTTAAATTTGTTTCATACTGATAAGGACCTTAAGTAGTAAATACTCTTGGTGGATTTGAACAGCTAAGCTTGGATAAAGTCATGTTAGATTAAAATGAACAATTATCTCTTGAGCTTTGTATTACTAAACTTAGTATTGGACAGTCTACTAATTCTATTGATTATTGGATTAAAGTAACTCTGTAACAAGCTTTGCTTGAGAGTGGTAGTGTGGTACAGATGTGTGTGTGAATAAAGCTTTGAAGGTCACATAATTGTACCTTTCAAGCTTTTAAAAACAATATTCAAGTAAAAGGTTGTGTTCCTTTTAGAAATAATCCTAATGCCAGTAATATGAATTCTAACCATTTTAGAATTAACTTTTTCTTCATTGCTATTATATTACTTGCCTTTCTAGCTTTTTTTTTGCCAGGGTGAAGGGAACTCCTAAGTTGTTTTGCCTAACTCATTGGGAATGAAGGCAAAAAAAAATCCTTGTGTTTTTCTGTGTAAATTGTATTTGCAAGTAAATCTTTGTCCATCTGCGAACATTAATTACGCCTATCTGAATAATGAAAGTTAAGGGAACACAGACCTACTGAGTACAGTTGTCTGTATTTTTAGATGTCTTTTCAGTGCTTTGCTTTGTGGAGTTAGAATTAAGGTTAAGCTTGTGTAACTCTTATTATGCAGTTTTGCCCTGCCTTTTGGAGTTGAATATACCTGCAACATGTTTTTTGGCTAATCGTGGTAGTATACTCAACAGTAGTAGTAGTTTTGGATTTCCTAGGTATTAGAAGAGATATCTTGTTTAGGAATGTCCATGATACAAAAAACAAGGTCCCTTTCTCAAGGAACAGTCTGGTGTGCTCAGAAGCTGCTGTTTGCCATAGCCAAACCTTTCTTTGTTAGTCCATTGTATTGCCACCCCCCCATGCTTGCTTTGAAAAACAAAACCAAAAAATCGAGGCTCTTTTTCAACATTAAGGTTTTTCTTGAAGTTATTCTGATAGAATTACATTGGGTTGTGATGCATTTTTAATTGCTGAAAATCATCTTGCTCATCAGCTTTTCACATTAGTCCCAAAATAAAGTTGCAGGTGTATCAGTCTGGTCTCTTTGCATATACAGAAGCGATTTGGGGAAGGTATTCTTGTTCTACAAGGTCAATGATCAAAACACATGCTTAAAACAGTCTTATTATGAATCTTAAACCAAACTGATAATATAAAACACTTTACTACTAGAACTATGTTTGAGTTTCTCTTGGGAAAAAGTAGTTCCTGCAAAAAATCAAACGCTTTGAACAATGAATAAAACTGTTTCACTATATGTATAAAACTATAGTTTAATACTTGCTAATTGACTAAAAATCGAATTAAAAATAATTGAATAAAATAAAACAAAAAGCCTGGCAGGGATGGTAACAGCATTTGTAATGAGTGGCAGGTCAATTGGACCAGGCAGCTTTGAGTGGGGTGTGTAATGCAGCTATTTTTGAACCTCGTATTTCTGCTTTCCCTATACGTAAGATCATCGTATCACGATAGCATCAATAATGTGACCATTGTTAATGGTGTGACCTAGCACTGTACACAAGTGTGTTGATTTACATTTAGGTGTCACATTTGCATTAATTTCTCTGGGAATTGCATTGTGCGTACTGGTTGTGGAGGGTGGAGGTCAGGCTGTCCGGCTGAGTGTTCTTGTTGGAAGAAACGCACAAAAGAAAAGTCTGTCTCTATAAATAGGACTGATGAATGCTTCAACAAATTAATCTGTTTTCCACTGTTACGTGGAAACAAATAGCTTTTAATATGCTTAATTTCAGATTTGGTCATTGTGCCAATCTGTCAACTCTAAAATAGTATTGGAAGTCTGTCAAGAATCAGGTCTTGTAATTTGAAAAGGAATCTTGACCAAATTAATTAAACACTGAACGTACTCATGCATTATTACTGACTTTTGCTTAGTCTTTTTACTCATGTGGCATTGCAAAATACTGCTTTATAAAAAGTTTTGTGTATCTTTTTGGGCTTAGAGATGCTTTTATTGGAAAATAAGTTTGGCATACTACCACCTTTTATTTCTTGAAAGCTCTGTAATTGCTAGAATTTTTCAATATGCTTAATCCAGTGTGTGTGTGTGCTATACATACATATATATGTGCATGTATGTATACAGGCACAACTCATAGGGCTTGCCTGTCCTTTATAGATTTGCTGAACTTGCATCTCAGAGCTGGAAAACCACTTCCTTTTCCTTTTGATAATGTCAGTCTTCTGCAATAACTCTTCTACAGTATGCAACAAAGTATTTAGTGCTAACCTCCAGGCTTTTAGTTCATGTGTCTCTTCCTGAGATTGTTTGTTTAAAAAGGAATTGAAAAGGTTATTTTATATGCTAACTCTGTTACAGGAGACATGGTAGTGTAATACATTCGTAACAGTGTTTTGATTGATTTTGTTTGCCAAGTTGTTGATGCTAGTATTGCCTTAATGTGAAAGGTAAAGGAAAAACAAGATGTTGAAAGTACATGTTTTAAAGAGCAGTATGTATTAATTTGGGGATCTACTAACCTAAATTTGTTAAAAACTTTTAGAATAGAAACAAACTTCAACCTTCTCTGTAAGTTATTTGATGCTTTGGCATACGTTTCCAAATACAAGCTTCTTTTCCGGTCCTAAACTGATACTAAATTAATGGTATAGTTGAACATCAGGTTCACCTAGATGTGTCACATGCTACTTGAAGTGCTGGCAGTTCTTTCAAGCAGAGAAAACTCCTTGCACACTCTAAATGATGGACAATTTCTTAATGAAGCTCATAAACTGAACTACGAGATTACATCTTGCCGTTGTAACAACTATCCTGATACAAGCTATCCTGATACTCTTGCAAACAAGAGGAGTATCATGTAATTTCTCTGCCTTGCTCTGGTGTTAATCAAATAGCTTCTTTCAGTGTTAACAGGTCAAGCTTGTGTTTCTACATTACTTGTTTCACAACAGAGTTCTTAAACTGGGCCATATTCTTACTCAGTTTATCATGGAAATGAGGATAGCACTAATTCCTTGACACCAGGGAAGGACAGAAAGGAAGTGGCAATATTAGTTCACTAATGGTGGTTTTGCCAAGTGCCAAGGTTTGTTTTTGTCAAACTCCTTGTCTTTTTGACTAAGACACTAAATTAGGGTGAGAGGTTCATTTTTGTTTAATTGTTTCCTTTTAAACTTTTTTGAAAAGGCCACAGAGCTGTGTATATTGGAGTTCACGTCCCATTTGGAAAGCAAGGCCGTCGACGGCATAGACATCGTGGGCACAGGCATCACAGAAGAAAAAAAGAAAGAGAGACTGACAGAGAGGATGGCCGAGAATCTCCATCATATGGTAAGAAATCTGTTGTGAGAGTTCTTTGTGTTGCTTGAAAATAAACTTATAGTAGTTACTCTGTGCTAAAACATTGTTTGGTTTTGTGCTGTTGCTTTTATTCTCACTGTAATTAATGTGTTTCTACGTACAATCAGGCAAGGTTTTTGTGGTTGTGTTTTATCTAAATCATAAGCTGTTGGAATTCATCCAGGTGTCTGTGTGAACAGCAGCCTGCACTGAATAAGTTAGATTAGAGCTTCAAAATACTCTCCTGTCGCATAAAAATCTGTGTTATTTAAATTAGACACCTTTTTTCAGATTGTGCAGTCTTGTAATACTCTTCCTCTGTCACTCAAGATTTTTTGAAAGTATGAATATAGCTGTGAAGCAGCATTTGCCATGGTAATTTGATCAGTGATCCCATTAAAATACTTAACTTCAGCCTTCTTGCTTTCTGTTAGTAATAGTAAAGGAATTGTACTGCCTCCTAACTTTTATTTTGGGTCAGACACGGCCCCCCCAGCCCGCTCCTTATCCTTCAGAGGTGATGACTTTGTCATACCATTCTCTGAAATGAAATTATTTAGCAGTACTCTTAGCAGTTTTTCTTCAAGACCTCAAACCTGCTTTTATTCCTGGACTGTAATGAATGGGAAAGTTACGGTGCAATGTACCACTTCAAGCATGGACACCACGCTGCTCACTATCACCTTTCTATGGCTAGAACCATGCTCTACATGGGGCCAGTTCCCTGAGACAAAGGAGCTTTGACAAGTCCCCTTTTACCATTCTCCTACAGTTCGGTTGTGGTTTAATCCGGCAGGCAGCTAAACACCACACAGCCGTTTGCTCACTTCCCTGCCCTGGGATGGGGAGAGAAGCAGGGTGGGTGGGGCAATTCATGGGTTGAGATAAAGACAGTTTAACAGGACAGAAAAGGAAAGGGAAAACTATGATAACGATAAAAGAAAATACAAAATAAGTGATGCACAATGCAGTTGCTCACCACCTGCTGACCAATGCCCAGCCAGTTCCTGAGCAGCAGCCCCCAGCCAGCTTTCCCCCCAATTTATACACTGAGCATGATGTCATATGGTATGGAATATCCCTTTGGCCACTTGGCTGTATCTCCTCTCAGTTTTCTTGTGGCCACCCCGGCACCCCCCACTTGCTGGCAGGGTAATATGAGAAGCTGAAAAGCCCTTGACTTGTTGCTGAGCAGTGTTTACACAAACTAAAACACCAGTGTGTTATCAACATTCTTCTCATCCTAAATCCAAAACACAGCACTATACCAGCTACTAGGAAGAAAATTAACTCTATTCCAGCTGAGACCAGGACGAGTTCTTAGTTTCATCCATCTTCAAAACTTCCTCTCCCAAATACAAATTATTATCTTTTAATGTTATGTTTCTAGAGTCTTGCTGTACAGGTTCTGAAGCAGCAAGTAATATTAGATAGATAGAAATTCACTTCTTCTGGTCACTTCTCTACCTAGGATACACAGGTTATGGCAGGATTCTTGGGATATGTTGATTTTGGAACGGAAACAATCTGCTATAGGTCTTCAACAATAATGAATGTGGTTTGTATTCAAGAGCTCATTTCAGAATTACGTTATTGGATGATGATGATGTATGCCAGAAGAACAATGCAAAACCAAAATTCAATTCTGAATGAAGTTTGTTAATAACTCTTATGCCTGAATCTAAAAAGCAGTTTTCCTTCTGCAGTGGAAGCATGCAGTTGTGTGTTCAGATCTAGCAGCTGTGAGAGTCATGTTTCAGTGAACAAAGTAAAATTTTTAAAATTGAGACTTACCTGAATTTTCTATCTCTGACCTTCCTTGGGAAAACATTGCAACTACTACATTATTGAACCCTTGTAATTTGAAAGCTCTCCCTTGAGTTGAAACAAGATCTGTGTATAGGTATTAAAATATTGCTAAAACCATGTATTCTCATTGTTTTTTTTTTTAAGTTTTGCTCATAGCAGTAAAGTCCACTACTTATATTTGATGAAAAAAGATAGTTAAATTTTGTTACAAGTTATTACTGAGCCTGTTCCACTAGGCATTATACTATGAGAAGTTAAAATTTTTCCTCAACATTTTAGCTATGTAGTTTCTACTTTCCTATGCTAATTTATGTACAGTGTTCCAACCAAGAAATGATAAAGGTAATAATGTTTTCCATCCTATGTAAATAGCAACAGGCCACTGAAAAATCCGCAGCTCTGACAATATTTATGCCTGGGTATCCACTATGGAGGGTGAGGGGGGAAAGCCAGCTATTTAGCACCTCAAGCTATTACTAGGGCAATCAATCTGTAAGTCAGGCTATTTGTTTCTGTCAACCTGTTGTGGTGTGTCGTGTGTGTGTGTCCCATTAGCATCTGCATCATCGTGGTATCATTTATTTTGTTTTCAAAGTGAAAACAGGGTTTCTAGCACTTTGGTATATTAATTTTTACTTTCTTACTAGTTTTGCTGTTGTTTATTTTCATGTTGTTGATCTATAGAAAAACTAAAAATACTTAATTATGTTACATACACATAAATTTCCAGATGTTTTGTTTTCAGAAACAATGAAAAATTTTAAAAGGGCCTCCTTTTAAAGAAATGTCCATGTTTCTTTTGTTCCTCTTCCCTCTTGAAGAGGATGTGCATCCCAGAGCGTATTTCTAAATGAGAGCAGGAGATTTAACTGTTATGTGATGTTGCGTAATAGAAGTATGAATTCTTCTAATTGCTCAGTTTCTCCTTTTCTTCAAGATACACCATCCCAACGAGTGCAGTTTATCCTGGGTACTGAAGATGATGATGAACACATTCCCCATGATCTCTTCACTGAAATGGATGAACTTTGCTTCAGGGATGGAGAAGAATATGAATGGAAAGAAACGGCTAGGTATGCTAAAAATAGATTGTTTCAAGGTATATCTTCTAGTGATTTTTTTTTTCAAGAACTCAAACCAGGTTTAGATTAGAATTTTCATGAACTATAGGAGTTGTTCAGTCAATTCATGCTGAGCAAATTAAAACTTCTGTTGTTTTTGTCCAACTCTGGATGAATCAATATGGTTTCTCAAGAGACCCTCATTCATACTGGTGCTGTGTTGACTTTCCTAAAACTGATCGTGCCAAGCATTGCGAAAGGTACAAATGTGTTTAGTTATAAATACAGGTGTTCAGCCATGGAGCATGGTATTTACAGTCTCAGAAATCTCTTTGCTCTATTATTGCTGATATATTAGTGTCAACTTTTTTTCACCTGAAGAAAACATATTTACATATGTTCTTACCAAGTAGTATTTGACTAATTTTTTGTAAATTGCATGCATGAAGATTTCAGGATGCCATGATTATTTTTGGCCCATATTGGCTTAGTTGCTTCCTTCTACATATGTGTTGTAATAAATTCTTCTGCATTCACTACTTCTAATTACCTTATTGCATGCTAGCTTTTGCAGAAGTTCAGTTTTCATAATGCCTATAAGTCAGAATCAAGATCAATTTATAGTTACACATAATTAGTATTTGCTAGCTCTTAAATGTCTGACTTGGCATCTTAGGAGACTTGAACGTTGTATATGGTGTGTTTCAGACAGCTTTCTAATCCTAAAACACCGATGAAACTGAGATATGCAAATCAAGTAACAAGGCACAGTTCCACACTGTTCACAAGAACTTGTGAATAGACAGGTGTTGTTCAAACCAAAAGAAACTCAATGGGCAAAAACTAAAACAATTGAGTGTGGTTAAAAGGCTTGATAAAAATGTGACTGTCAATCAGTTGGGTTGTCTGAGAAAATGAACGCTAGTGTAAGCTGATGAGATTTCCTGTTCTGTGTCATACAGAAGCCACAGAAGAATGTGATTTCTTGCCAAATTGTGTGTCTTGCAGGAGAGATATAAATATGTGTGTGCATTTCAGGTGGCTAAAATTTGAAGAGGATGTTGAAGATGGTGGTGATCGATGGAGCAAGCCTTATGTAGCAACTCTGTCTCTGCACAGTCTCTTTGAACTGCGAAGCTGTATTCTTAATGGGACGGTCATGTTGGACATGAGAGCAAACACACTAGATGAGATAGCAGGTTGCAGCAAAACTTTTTTTTTAAAAAATATTTTCTTCATAGATTTTAATCTATAACTTGAGATGTTTTTGATGGTGTCTATGTTCTTGAAAATACTATATTGAAAAAGTAGGTATGTGCATGCTTACTGCAGTTTTCTTCATCTGGTTGTAAAGACCTGATCTTACAAACTTCACTTACAAGGAGCTACACTGGATAAGTAGGACCTCCTTTATTACATGTTTTAGGATGAGGCCCAGAATTTGCCTTTGTCTTCTAATCCCTGAATGTGTTCTTTGTCTTTGTTTCTACAGATGAAATGTAAATATCTGCCAGAACATTTTAGGACTTATTTGTGCACTTTAGTACCATAATTATTAATCATAACTTGGCTGATGTTAACTGATGCCATTAGTGCAGTTGATTGTTGCACATCTGGTATTTTTTTCACCTTTATAAGAGGTGAGCAGAAATAAATTTTGTACATTTTGTTTGACCTACTATGTTGGGTGTCCTCACTAATCACGTGGTCATTTTGGATACTATAAAATCAACTTTGAAGACTTTTTCATATATGTATATATATACCTGCTTAGCCTGAATCCCTTTGAACTAGTTTTACATTATTTTCCTGGTATCTCTTGCTACAGGTACCACACAGTGGAATGCCTTCTCAGGAATCATGCTAGGCTTAGGGCTGACCAACATGTATGTGAAGGACGATGTGTTTTGGCATTAAAAACTTTGGCAGTGCTTGAAACATTTTCCTGTTTTGTTCTGAAATCTTCAAAATTCACTCAGGAAATTGGTATTCCCTTCCTATTTTCCTGATTACTGAGTAAGAGTGTTCAATACATGGTTTCTAAAAGTAATGTTTTGGTTTTTAATTTATATGTAATAATTGGATTTAGCAATAATCTTAGTACATAAGAAAAACAGTTATTGCTTAATTCTGTGTAAACTGCACTCTTTTAATAGCAGGTATATTAGTTGGAACTAGGATGTCTTAAGAGATTGAATTTGTTTCAGGTTTATTTTAGGTGCCATTACGAAGCATGTAGGATAACAGTCCCTGGCATGCAAATGTATTGTCTTGTTTCCCTGAGCCAGGAATACCTAGTATGTATTCCTGAATCTCACTCAAAACAGGAGGGAGATGGTGGCCAGTTTCCTTTTGAGAAGCTATTACAAAAGGTTGTGTCTTCCCAGTAACCCCAGAAGGAAGCTGCACTGTACTGACAGAGACTTTGCTGCGTATAATTTTGTTTGCAAGGTATTCTGAGCCCTAACCTTTTTCACTGTGAAAAGTTCTATATAATTGCAGTTTACCAATAGTTAGGTTCTTGATACATCAGTTAAGACTGGCAAAATATATTTCAAAGCTTGTCACATAGGTTTGTGTTGATTTGTGCAGGTGGGATTTTTTTAATTAATTAAAAAAAAAGGCAGCTAAGAAATTGCCGCAGATACTTACTCGGACATGCAGGCTTTCTTTCCTAGTGTGAGCATAAGGATGATAGGCCCTTTTGAAACTTGATGTTGTTTGACAGCTGATTAGTTAGTTTTGGATGATGTAACTAGCTTTTGTTTTACACTTCCTCTTGTAAAGCATGTGAATTGCATGAAGTTCGGTAGAGAGCCTCAGGAACTTAGGGCATCTGAAGGTGACAGAGGAGTTAGGGAATTAGTCTCATTCTGTGATAACTTTTGCTTTTGCATAGTTGTATACTTTCAAAACCGGGAACACCAGGTTAAGACTGTCTTAAGAAGTCTGTTCTTCATTGTGTTTCTGTCTTTGTGTGTTCACTTCTAGTGGAGGGTTGTTGAATACATAGATGCTTTTTTTTTAAAGGGAGTAGCCAATGAAAGTTGAAGTAAATGACAATAAATCATAAAATATTAAGTAACTTATTTCTTAAAATGGTGCTACTAATAAGAACTGTTGTTTGGATCCACATGTTATTCTTTCCTTCTCACATTTGCTTGTTTAGTGACGTCTTTGAAAATTTCGTGTGGATTCTTGAAGATGACTTTGCTAAAGAAAAGACTTTTCTTTCTTTTAAACAGATTTAATTTTCTTTTCTTAATATTTTGTGTAACTACAGTGTGTGAATGTGATGAAGGAGAGGTTTGATAACTGTATCTATAATTTTCTTTTGCTGTTGTTGTTACTATGTAGATATGGTTTTGGACAACATGATTGCCTCTGGCCAGCTCGATGAATCCATAAGAGAGAATGTGAGAGAGGCCCTTCTAAAACGGCACCATCATCAGAATGAGAAAAAATTCAGCAATCGGATTCCTCTGGTTCGGTCTTTTGCAGATATAGGCAAGAAACATTCTGATCCTCACTTGCTTGAACGAAATGGTGAGATAAGTTGTAGCATCCAGTTTGTTCTAACCTGTTAACTAATGTTCTCACTGGGAGATGAAAGAAAATTCAGCTGATAATAGCAGATAAGTGCTTCCTTCTTGATAAGCAAAAAACTAATGATAACTGCTATGTGTAGCTGTGGATGATGTTTCTGTATATTTTTGATTTTACTCAAACATTCTACTTCTGCCTGTAGAATATATACATAGCATGCGTTATTGTTTTGAAGTATAGAAATAGACCTACATGAGTCCTAATGTTTTTTAAGATATGCTTGGATAAAATGTGTAATGTTTGAGGAATTTCAGCATTGTGGCGTAGCTTTACATGTTTGTCAGATGGATCCTACTTGCTTATTCAGTCTTCATACTAGATTTACTTTGTAGTCATGTCATGATTGTCAGTGATGCTGACAATTACTGTGTTTTAATCCAGTGTTGTTATGTTAATATGACTAGAAAAAGTTCACTGTGCTAGTGGTAAGAAATTACTTTTAGCTAGGACACTGCTTATTTTTACCTTGTTTTGTAGAGAAGGATCTAACAGGGAAGACCCCTCCCACCCCCCAAACCCAAGAAAGGTGTTTGCAATATTTTTATAGGCTGTACCACATCTTTTATTGAACCAATTCCTGAAAATATTCTGGAATATCAATACGTTTGCTTTAGACATCCAGCTCCAAAGTCCAAATAGTAATATATACTGCAGAGCAGCATATTTTTATTCTTGTGTTTCTTATGACCTCTATTTTCATTTCTGTTCTTTGTTTTCTTTTGCCTTGCATTAACTAAGACATATGATTTCAACTGAAATTTTTAGTTTAGTGAAAACTTAGTAATTATTTCATTAATCACTCCTTGAAGTGAAGTTCCTTTCTTGTCTTGAAGGATGCCTCATTGCTTAGAATATATACCACTTAGTTAAGTGCTTGTTAGGAGCTCTCAATTTGTTATGTACTTCAAGTATGCTCCAGTAAATGTCCAAGCTTCCTGATACTTTCTGTTAGCTAGTGAATACATGATGTATGCTTAAATATTTCCCTGATAGTTTCAGAATTATTTTTTTAGCATGAAAATACCAATAATTTATATAAGAGCATAGTTTCTTGTATAACTTCTGACTTTCCTGTTTTGTTCAGCAAACGTAAAAACTTCACGTACAAACTTGGTTTTGCCTATCTTTGAACACCGGTATCCCTAATTGTATTTCTGAGAATTTTGTATTTGAGGTCTCTTGCTTGTCAGTTACTTTTCATGTATCACTTCCACTTTCTAGTGCACTTTATTCTTAATACTATTCCTACAGCAGAATATGGGATATATGCTGAAATAAGGAACCAATATAACATGATGAACTCTTTGCCAGCATGTACTGATTTACTTTTTATAATCCTATGGTTACCCTCTAATAAACCAGTAAACAAAACATGCATATGTGCATAATATGTTTTAGGTTCCATTTTACACCTCATCTCATGTTCATGATTCCTCACCAATATACTGACAGAAATCTAGTTATTACTTTAGTGATTAGTATAGACAAAATCAACTAGTTTGCTTTATTGGTCCTCTTGTCTTTACTGCACTGCAGTTTTACTAATTGATCTTTTGAGGCTTTTATTCTTAATTTAAATCAAGTTTGCACTGTAGGATCCACTCTTCCATGTTAGAGGTGGGGAAAAAAGGTACGTGACCTTTACCTAGGCATACTTTCTGCGCCTCCTTCTTGTACGTTATTTTCTCTGTAGTGCTTAGTATAAATTTGAGACTACATGTGCCTCACTTGCTGTTTCCTTGCTTGATGGCACGGTACATGAAAACACCCATGTGTTTGATTTCAGGGATTGTAGGAGAAGCAAGCAGTATTCTTAAGGAGGCTGCTATCCAAGGAAAAGTGTTTGTGGTAAATGGGAGGAATGGTATCGCTGAACCTTCTAGTGGAAGTGCTAATGGGAGGGTAGACGGTCTCTCTTCCTGCTTAAGGCAGAACTGAAGTCCATTACAAACTTAAATCTGAGGGCACTGTGACAAGACTGTGTTCTCTTTATATAGACATTAGTGGGACATTGAAACTGAATAGGGCAAGAAAAGTAACAATGGATTTTGGAGAAACGTGTTTGATTTCAGGCAAATGGGGTATTTGGTAAGTCACAGCAAGAAGAAATGGAGAAGGGACTCTGTATCTCAGCCTCATGCCCTCTTCAAAACTACATATTGAGACTACAGCCAGATAGGAAACTTCATATTAAAACAAGGCTTTTATTGGAAGATAGTTGCATTTAACATGATTTGATATGTTTCGTCATGTTCATCTTGAAATATTTTAGTTTTAAAAACTAACAATTCTTTGTATATAATGGATGTAGTTAACTGAAGTCTTGTAATGTTTTGGCTGCTAATAATTTTTAATGTATTTTTTGGATGGCATTAAAGATAGCTGCTGTGCAATTTGGAGTAAGAAGTTCTTGTAGGAAAATTTAAAAGTCAATTTCAAGAGATAGAAATTTTGTTATATTAACAAATCTTACTGACTTTAAGATAATATCTTCTTCCACATATCTTTGGCGTTCTAATTAGTACTCATCAGTAATTTCTGACTTTTCTAATGTCTGAAATCAGATTTGCTCTTATCTCTTGTCTTACTTGCATGAGTATGACACTTTTGGCCCATAAAGCTTGCAATTTACTATGTAAATTGTTAATGCATATTTGTGTCTGTATTTTTTTAGTATATCCCTGTTGTAAGCCTCATGGTGTTTCATTTGTTTTATCTCAGGGGAAGGCCTTTCAGCCTCCCGCCATTCTTTGCGAACAGGTCTCTCTGCCTCAAATATTTCACTGAGAGGAGAAAACCGTTTGTCAGTTCTTCTCAATTACCTTCTTCCTTCTTCAAGAGCTGGAACCCCGGCAGCCTCAAGGTGTACAACCCCTGTAACTACCCCTCAAAACACACCACCCTCCAGTCCTACCTTCAGCCACCTGCCAACTACAAGTGCCCAGCCAAGTCCACTTCAGGGCAAGGAATTGCTGGTGTCACCTGCCAGTGATGATATTCCTTCAGTAATAATCCACCCACCTGAGGAGGACTTAGAAGTGCAGGAAAGCCAGGAAAAGACGACACAGGAAAATACTGACAAAACACCAGGCAACTATCGAAATTTCAGCTGTCCATGTGTGATGCTCTCTGCATCTGGATCACTTGCGTTGCAATGTTTTTGGCACATAACTTGGGCACAAAGGAGTATGATAACTGTTACCTCTGCCTGCATGTTTTACTTCTCAGTTGTGACTGTTTTCTTGTTCAGCATTTTTAACTTTTTAGCTTTTAACTAAAGCCAGCGAAAAAATTCTTTAATTAACCTTCATTTGTGTAATTAAAAAGAAATACAGTTTTAAAATATAATATATAAGCAATATGTCAAAAATGGTGGCCTTTTCCTTTCACTCACCTACAGTCCATGTCAGGTTTTGCTTTGTTGTTTTTGTCAGTGGTTGAAGTAATACTAAACCAGTGTTTGATACCATGAGATAGCTACAGCTGAAGACAAAGTGAGGTATTAGAGATGAGTATGAAAAGAATTAGGAAGGATGCAATAATCAGTGGTGTTCGTAGTTCAGTTGTATCATGAAGTCTTTAAGCAGTTTTATTTTGGCTTTTGTGCTTTTAAAAACCGGAGCCATTAAAACCAGTAGTAGTTTGATGGAACTGGCAGTTTCAGTTCACTTACAGCTGTTTCCAGATAGCTATCCATTAGTGCATTGCTTCAGCGTCAGACATTTGATTACTGTTTTGTTGTGTTTGTTATGCAAAATAGGATAAGGTAGTTAAGAGTTTATAATTGTAGGTCAGAGCTCAGCAATTTAATCATCTGTTGTCTTGCAAAGTTATTGTTCTTTACATGTAAAAAGGTATGTAGATGTATAGATATGTTGAAAAAAAGGATGGAAAGTTCTGATGGTTTCTTTAATCATTTTTGGTTAGTGTTCCATAACTTGTGCATTCTGCATATATACTTTTATAGTTGCTTCACTTTTGCACCTATTTAGAGACTTTAGGATTCTTGTAGGTAGATCATGGTTTTTAAAGGTATCGCCTTTCTTTTTAGCTTTTGGGCTCCTCCTGCCATTTTTTTTTTCCTTCCCAGAAATTTATCTGGTTAACATCTAGCTTGTAGGTTTGTCTGCTTATGCCTATGTGTATTGGGGGGTAGGAGGAAGCTGATTTCACTCAAGTCTTTAATCAGCGAGAGTTTTCTTGGCTTCCTTCTTCACTTGTTTAATGAATAAGAGCACACTGTTACATATGGCAGTGAAAATGAGCTGACGAAGAAAAGGCTGTGGTTATCTGCCTCTCCACATTTTGCAGCCAAGTCACTGAAAAGGAAATAGCAAACTATGTTGTAGACTGTCGTTTTGAGCTGGAGTAAGGGGCCCCATCCTTACTTGAATTCAGAAAAGCAAACAAACAACTCTTTCTCTGACTTCCTCATGGGAAACTAAGAAAATTCACATGAAGATCATTCTCTCTCATGGGTGATCTTTCAAAGGTAATTAAAACCCAGAAGTATAACAACAGCTGTAATTGGTTTTCCAGTTCTCATTTTTCTACTCATCTGACAGGAATGACAGCATGCCAGACCTAGGGTCTTTAGAACCCAAGAGAAGGCAAACAAATGAAGATCAAGTACTTGATGCTATTATTATCACTAATAAAGCTTTCTACCAGATTCTCCAAGTCATGTTCAAATTGCCTTTGTGCCTCAAAGGGACATTTCTCATAGAGGAAAAATCTGAAAGGGATGATTTCCCAGTTACTCCATAAATAAGTCTTTCCAGAGAAATATGAACACCAATAATGATGGAAGACATTTTTGTTTTCTTGGGTTCCAACAGCCCCCCCCC